TGCAGCTTCTCATCCTGCACGGGCTGAGCACCTCTCTCTCCACCCCCGAAGACATACAGCTGGTTTCCAATGGCTGCTGCAGATGTGTGGAATGTTCTTGGGGATGGGGGCAGGCCGGTCACTTCTGGCGTTGTCCATGTGTTGGTTTCTGTTTCAGAGAGAAGGCAGGTAACTAAAATACCAAGGCTTAGGGCCTGCTGGCTTTGAGGATTTTTTTCCTCCCCTGAAGTGCTGGGGATTGAACCCAGGCACTGTGTATGCTAGCCAAGCAATCCAGCACCAAGCTGCACCCCAGCTTCTGACCTGGGTGCTTGGTGCGACTTGGCAGGGTCACTTTCCTACCTGCAATGCCCGTGACAGACAATATAGTTCCAAGTGGGGAGCTCCTACTCAATGTCAAGGATGAATTAGGATGATTCTCAGAATTTGCCCACACAAAAACCCTCCAGATTAAAAGGCTGTAAGTACAACTAAGAAGTTAATATCCTCCCTGAACCCTCTTCCCTTTGCTGACTGCCCTGCCATGTGGTCCTTCAGGGGAGCCCAACATCTGCTAAAATTCATTCCTACTAGATGCCAAACACACCAGATTTCCCAGAAAAGGTGGCCACTGAAATAGGCAATTATAATTCCATTAGCAATAATAGGATCACCAGGAGTCTGAGCCACGCAGTGAGACCCTGTACCAAATACATAAAAAGCAAAACAAAACAAAAAGAAATAGTAATAATGATCCCTATTACATACTAAGTGGTAAATATTAAAAATACATTACCCTTGGGGCCGGGGAGATGGCTCAGTAGAATAAGCGCTTGCCTGGCAAACACCAAGCGTCTGAGTTCAATCCCCAGTCCCCTTTCTTTTCATTTTTTTGGGTGGAATCAGGGATTGAACTCAGGCAGCGCTTATTCTACTGAGCTATCTCCCCGGCCCCTACATTGCTCTTTCACAGAGAAGGGAGTGGAAGCAGAGAAGGTCTCCTCTTTAAGGCACCAAGGCTTGGAAGTGGCCGGGATGGGATATGAACTGTTTCTGAAATACCAGGACCCTCCTATTTTCTACTGTTCTGACTTGAGAATGAAATGAGAATGCTACAGAAACAGATGCATTCAATATTTAAAATGCTTCATTATGTGTAGTGTTCAAACAAGAACCTGCAGGTTCAACAAATCTCAGCCTTGATCCAAAGCAAAATACAATTATCTCTACAGCTCCAGGTCTGGGACAGCTTTTGGATTTTAGGGAGCATTGGAAGACACAAACATCGAACAGAAATACAGCACAAATAACCACAAAGAAGTCCAAAGCCATCACCAGGACTTGCTTTTTTTTTGCAGAACCAGGGTTTGAACTTAGACCCTTGTGCTTGCCAAGGAAGCGCTTATTCTACTGAGCCGTCTCCCTGGCGCAGGACTTGCTTTGGTAACAAAACCAAGTCACTTATATTTGTCAATTTCTTTCTTTTTAAACATATTTATTTATTTAGTCAGTCCAGGGTCTCACTACGCAGCTCAGACTCATAGTGACCTTCCTTCCTGTTTCAGTTTCCCCAGCACTGGGATTATAGGCTTGTACCACCACACCCAGTTTTGGGGCCTGTGGTACCAGGGAGGCTTACCTGCAGGGCCTGTGGTACTGGGAATTGAACTCAGGTTCCTGTGCTTGCCAGGCAGGAACTTAGACTGCTGAGCTATATTCCCAGCCCCCACATTTGTCAATTTCTTGGCATGGTGTCAAGTTACACTTCCCAGGAGAAAAAAGGTATGGTTGGAAATCTTACTCCTTTGGCCAAAGTCTTGCTGTGTTTTACTGAAATGGGTATGATCAGAGAATCAAAAGGGCAGGACTGCCAGGCGAGGTGGCATAGGCCTTAACCCCAGCTACTTGGAAGCTCAAGGGCAGCCTGGGCACCTTAGTGCAAACAGATCCCAACCGAGAAAAAGCAAACAGGGCAGGATTCTAGAACGGTTTTCTGTTTTTCAGATCACACCTCCATGAAGCACAGCTAACAAATATTTGGTGTTAACTATGTGCCAGGTCCTAAAATAATTTAAATCCTCGCCAAACTAACAACTGATGCAATGTGGCAGAAAAAGAAAAAATAAATGGGAAGTAGAGAGGTTAACCCACTTGCTCAAAGTCATGGCTATTACACAGCAAAGATGGCCCTTGCTGACCCCTCTCTTTCTCACATCCTTCCTCTTTCTTTCCCTCCCTTCCTCCTTTCTTTTTTCCTTTCTGTTGTGTTGCTGAGGATTGAAACCAGGGACTTAAGAATGCAAGGCACGGGCTGTACCCTGAGCCGTCCCTGCAGCCTCAGCTGTGCTCTGGCCCAGTGTTCTCCACCTCCACTGTGCCAAGCGAACTGGCTCCCACATGGACTAAGCCGTCTGCTGTGCAGTTATGGTTTCAGACTATGCTCTGAACCCTGGGAATTCAACAATGAGCAAACCCTGGTCTTCAGCGCACTGATACTCCAGAAAGGGAGGGCAAGAAGAACAATAAAAGAACCAAATTGAATGAATGGACAAGAAGATACTGTTTAAATGTTGTGACAAGGCTGGGCATGGAGGTTTGCACCGGTAGTCTCAGCACTTGGAAGGCTGAGGCAGGAGGATCATTGTGAGTTCAAGGCCAGCTAGGCTGCAAAAGTGAGCTCAAGGCCAGTCTGAACTGCACTGTGAGACCCTGTATCAAAAAGACAAAAAAGAAAAAAGAAAATTGAGTCCCAAATGGTACAGTGGCAGATGCCTGTAATCTCAACTACTCCCTGGTAGGCTGAGGCAGGAGGAAGATCACAAGTTGAAGGGCAGTCTTTAAAATTTAGCAAGATCCTGTCTTAAACAAATAAAATAGGCTGGGGAGATGGCTCAATGGAATAAGCGCTTCCCCGGTAAGCACAACGGCCTCAGTTCAATCCCTGGTTCCGCCAAAAAAAAAAAAAAGAAAGAAAGAAAATAGGGGCTGGGGAGAATAAGCACTTGCCTGGCAAGCTCAAGGGCCTGAGTTCAATCCCCAGCTCTGCCAAAAAAGAAAATAATGTGGGACAGGGTGGCACCCATCTGTAATCCTACCACTGAGGCAGGAGGACTGCCATAAGTTAAAGGCCAGCCTGAACTATGTAGTGAGACCCTGTCTTTAAAAAAAGTCAAAAGAATAAAAAAAGGCTGGACATCTAGTGCATTTGGCTTTAACCTCTGCTACTGTATCAATCAATCAATAACGAATTCAGCCCCATTCTGACTATGCAAATATATTTCTGTGCAAACATAGTGGCAAGTGTTGACCTATACATAAAAAATGTCCACAGCACCAGATATGAACAAAAATTATGTATTTAAACAGAGATATGAGCTGTTTGCTTATCAAATTAGTAATGTTAAAAAAAAATTTAAAAAATGGGGCCAGGGAGATGGCTCAGTGGAATAAGCGCTTCCCTGGCAAGCACAAGGGCCTGAGTTCAATCCCTGGTTCTGCACCGCCCCCTGCAAAAAAATTAAGATTTTTGGGGCCAAGGAGATGGCTCAGTAGAATACGTGCTTCCCTGGCAAGTGCAAGGGCCTGAGTTCAGTCTCCAGTTCTGCAAAAAAAAAAAAAAAAGTGACGTCCACCAATGATAAATTCAAAGTTGGTCGAGAATAAAACAAAAACTATTAAACACTGCTGGAGACAATAAATTGGAAAAATCTTTCGGGAGAGCAACTTAGTCATTTGTATCAAAAACCTGAAGAAGGTTTACAGGTCGGCGTTGAGTTCAGCAGTAGAGTATGTGTTTAGCACGTGTAAGGCCAGAAAGAGTAAAAAATAAAAATAAAAAAAAAAAAAAGTAAAATGTTTTTACTTAGTCTTTATTTCTGGGAATGAATTCTAAGGGGATGATAATGTAAGCTGGGCATGGTGATACACACTTGTAATCCCAGTATCGGGGAGGCTGAGGCAAGAGGATTGCCGAGAGTTCAAACCCAGTCAGCCTGGACTACATACAAAATTCTGTCTCCAAAAACAAACAAACATCTGGGAAGATGGCAGAGTGGTGAGCAGCAGAAAAAGAGCCTCTCTGAGATTTGGTGTCCAGACACTGGAATATAACAACATGAAGAGAAGGAGGGAAGTGAGTCTCTTAGACCCAGGGAAGATCTGAAGCAAAAATTAAAGCCCATGGGGAGAGTGAAAAGGAGAGACTTCCACAAAGAGGAACAGGGCGGCATGCAGGCTTTCTCCCTGAGCCTCCACTCACTGTGGAAGGGGCAGCTTAAACCTGCAGCTACACTGTGACCACTAGCTACCTCAGAGCCCTCCCCAGAGAAACGCTCCAGTGGAATGGACCAGTGCATGCAATGGAGTGCAGTGACTGGTGAGTTACTTGGGTTCAGATGTCCCCCGGGAGGTGACTGGCCCTTAGCCATCTTGGAGAGAGGGTAACTGAACTCAGAACAGCTGCAAGGTTGGTTCAATCTAGTGGCTTCCCGGTGACAGGGTCAGGCTGCCAAGCTCCAGTTGGTACGCCAGGCAGCTGAGTTCAACTGGCAGGGAGACTATAACTCAAGCCAGGAAGAATCAGACAGTCTAGTCTGCTGCAGGCTGAAAAACTGGTTCAAGCCTCACAGCCAGAACCCAGCCTGAACTTCAGTGGAGCTAAAGGTGCAGGATGGTTCGGCTTATCAACTACCTTGCCATAAAGCTTTGGCGACTTGCAGGGATTATCAACTAGGATCTAGACTGTCTTTGCACACTATCTACCAGTGACAGCAAGACACACCTTAAAATGGACATTTCATTCCCCTGCTGTTTTTTGTTTTGCCTTGTTTTCTTTATTGATTGTTTGTTCTTTTTATGTAAGCACTAACAAGGTGCTAGTTTCTTTTTTAATTTCTAAAAATATCTTTTTATTTATTTGGTACAGGGTCTTGCTATGCAGCTGGGAGGTGCAGCTTGGACTCACAGTGATCCTCCTGTCTCAGCCTCCCCAGTGCTGGGATTACAGGCATGCACCACCTCACAGCCTGCCAGACCATAGTGTAATAAAATTGGAAATCAAGAGTAAAAAAGGCCCCAAGAGCTTCATAAACACACAAAAATTAAGTAACATAGTCCTGAATAAAAAAATGGGTCACAGATGAAATTAAATAAGAAATTAGAGAGGTTGTGGCTGAGTAGTGGAGTGCTTGCTTAGCATGCACAAGACCATGAGTTCAATTCCCAGTACCACAAAAAAACAAAGAAAGAGGGGGCTTGCCAGTTAGCTCAGTTGTTTAAATGCCTGCTTATTCAAATGCAGTCAGGCAAAGGATACCCAGACCTGCCCTTATGGCAGCCTGAGCCAGCCAAAAAAAAAAAAAAAGAAAAAGAAAAAGAAAAAACAAAGAAAGATGAAAAAAAGGGAAAAATTAGACCATTTCTACAATTAAACAATAATGCCAACATAGCATAGTGGAACTTATGGCAAATAATTAAAGCAGTCCTAAGAGGGAAATTTATGGTGGTGAATACTCATATCAGGAAAATAAAGTTCAAATAAACAACACAGTGTTGGACCTTTCTTCTTCGAGAAAAAGAAGAGCATGTCATGCCCAAAGCTCATAGAAAGGAGGAAATTATGAAGGAAATTATGAAGATTAAATTAATTCAATGGAGACTAAGAAAACAATAGAGAGAATCAATGAATTGGGGCTGAGGAGATAGCGTGGTGGTCTAAGAGCCTGCCTGGCAAGCCCAAGGACCTGGGTTCAATCCCTGGCACCACATGCCATGCTGGCCCCATGCTGAGCCAGCCACCAAAACCAGGCATAGTGGCACATGCCTGTGATGCCAGCACTGGGAAGGCGGAAACAGGAAGGATCACTAGGACTCTGAGCTGCATAGTGAGACCCTGTATCAAATAAATAAATAAAAGATTAAAAAAAGGGAATCAGTGAATTGAAAAACTCGTTCTTTGGAAGATTAAATAAAACTGACAAACTCTTAGCCAACCTTCTCAAAAAAAAGAGAAAAGACTCAAATCCATGCAATTAAGAATGAAAAACTGAAATCACCACAGAACTTGCAGCAATCTAGAAGATCATCTACA